CGAGGGACGCAAAGTCCATCATTCCTTCAGATCTTACGTGAAGAAGTCCGACCATCGGGCCGGCGGTCGTCCAGGTGTTCGTTTGACGTCCCGAGGGATCCAGTCGGTAACCGCTCTGGTCCAACGGTCATCGCAAAATCGCATGACGTGTCCGGCCCACCTTATCTTCGATTCCTTGGCGAAAACGGCAGCGTCCCTGATCTTCGATCGTTGGCGTAGTTCGGAACTCCGGATTCCCCTTGAAGTTGCGGATCCACTAAGATATATCAACCCAGCTCCCCTTGGAACGCTGGCAAAATCTGAAGGGAAATCATTCATATTCTTCAGAGATACCGATGACAAATGGGGTGAACCTGCCTTTTGCGACGCATTGTATTTCTTGTTCATTTTGAAAGGGGGTTTTATTTCAAGCAGCCGTGTATTTAAGGGTGGGCCAAAATTATGAGGACCGCGTGCGCGCGCGGTCATATCCACTTTTTTCCGAGTCGCTCCATTTTCATCTCCTTTTCTGTGCACTGTGACAAGGGTACAATGTCTTCTTCGATTGAAAACAAATGTCGCACAGCTCTCAAAACTAGCAAAATAGCATCACTGCAGGTCATTGCTTACTCGAATTGAACGTACTGCGGTTTCTTTCACGCTAAGACTAGCGGCACTTCACCGTAGCAGGGAAGCTCTTAGAGCAAGAACTCAATGTTTCGGTAATTTTGGAACCACCACAGATGGAAAATGCGAGTTTAAGGGTTCACAGTCACCACCAGAACAACTATGAGTTGCAGTAATTAGCCCTCCTCTTAAAGTTTCGTACCGTTGAAATGAAAAATTGATGTAAAACCCATCTAGACACTATAAATTCTCCACATACGTCTCGGATAGGAAGCCACTCAAGTACCCTACTTGGAACTTTTTACAAGACAAAGCATTTAATGATAAAGGAAAATCTTTCAAAAGCGGTTTTTCGAGTCCATTGTTTTCGAAGAGTTGCTGCGTAGGAATCGCAATATACGGAGGACCCTCAAGGAATAAGCCGAGGAGAGACAGGGACTTTGACGACGATGAAAACTTCTCACGCACCCTGGAGCAGGGTCAACCGTCACGTTCGAACATTTTCGGGATTTTTGCGACCCCCCCCTCTCGAGAGGGGTCCAGTTGCGACCCCTCCCAACACACAGTTGCGACCCCCCAATACAACCAGCCTTCCTCCACCGCGACCTCTCCCTCTTCTATAGTATTTGATTCTGAGACCAGTTGACACAGCCCAAAACCTACCTAAAACTCCGAAACTCCACCCACTTTTCCCCCAAAAACAGCCGTCGAGCGGGGGGGGGGGTATATACAACCAGTGAAACGGCAACTTTTTTCGCACACACCTATGCCCTGCGCCCCTGATCACCAAAGCGCGCAATGCGACCAATGCGACCCCCCTCCCTTCCCAGAACACAAATGCGACCCCCCCCCTTCGAACTGTTCGAACGGACGGTTGACCCTGCCCTGGAGCAGGGTGAATATTGCTTGAGGATTCCTCAACGGCACGTCGAGGATTTTCGCCTGATCCTTACGTTCTCGCGCGCGGATATTCACTCTCGCCACCCGCGAGCCGTCTGTGCTCTCCGCGCGTACATTCACTATCGGCACTACTCTCGCACAGCAGAGAGCGATGGTCCTTCCTCGACCGTTATTCACCCTGCCCTAGAGTCTCTGATCTCCCGCCTAAGGCTTAGTCCCCATTACAACAAAGAGAAGATGTTTTGCGCGACTTCTATGCACTGCCGTCACAATGCCCACGTATCTTGCGAACTCTATACCTAATATCTTTAGATTTTCTGTATGGTACACCATCGAGGCAAGCGCAATGAAAACCTGAAAAACATTGATTCGCTGAAAGGCAAGGTGAGGCATAAAGCCTGGAAACATTTTAACATGCCTTGGTTGCGTGCCACCGCACGCCCATCCCCTTCCAACGGAAGGCTCGCGTAAATTTAGTAAGAGGCAAGCCTCAATCCTAATCCGGTTTTTTTGTGATATGGAAGAAAAACGCTCTCCTAATGTGCATTTATTCCATAAAGCTACCATGCCTTTTCGACGACAAAATGTCTTTGTCCATAATTTTGACCCACCCTATAGATTCTCTAAGTAATGTGTTATCACACAAAGCATGGTGTTAGCTGACGTGGTACGAGAACACGATGCATTGCTTTTATGACGCCGTGAATTTGTAATTCTTGAGAAACAAAAAATATTTCTACTTTATGAGGGGCCAATATGGAATTTTCCTGGATTCGTTGCTTTCATCCAATTGATTTTCCATTTATTCACGGGTGCTATATTTCTCGCCATTGCCATCGTATAGCACCACAAAACTTTAATTGTTGGGAAACGAAGAATATGGCTTCTTCTTAAGCGGAGCAGGAGGCAAAGTTTCCGTAGATTTCTGAATCGCCGCCTTGATTTCTGATTCTTCCTCTTACAGTGCCTTTTGCACCTCACCTGGTGTCATCCACGCTCCTGTGAGCTATCCTGTGGAAAAAAATCAATTTTCGATCCATGTTTCTCAAAGTAGGACCCTGCCCAGAAATGGACACCTAAAATGTCTAATGTAACATTTTTCTTGAAGCTTATGCATATTTTCGTGGAATATGTAGGAGTCCTTCTAACACATCAAGCAGGTTTTGACATTTTTTCGCGTTGCTACAGGTACGATTTAGCGGTGGCGGTCCCACATTCTTTGGAACTCTAAGCTGAAAAGAAGCAAAACAAAGGTACAAAGCTAGTTCGAGGAAGCGACATTTGGCGAAGACGCGCGGCTTTTATATATGCGTCTTCACAATTAAAGAGACATCGGTGCAAAATGAGGAATCCCAGAGTCTAAGTGAGCATAGCCGGTTCGTGGCATAGGGGAGAGTCGGCCGATTCAAAGCACATGCGTGTAAAGTATGAATGTGCACGTATGTGCACACTGTCTCATCGGATAAATGACATCAAATCGGAAGTTATGGAAATACTGCGGAGCGTTAAGCATGACCACATTCCAAGGCAGCTGCTTGTCACGAGGCATGAGTTAGAAGAGGTGGCTAAAGGTTCCAAAAGAGTCAACAGGAGAAAGCGTCCAGCTAGGTGAGAGAAAAAGGACTTTTTGTTACAGCCTAGAAAATCCAAAGATTAGCAGGCGCTACAATAGGTGTAAAAATTTTTTTGCAATGATTGTTTCGATAAACAAAATCATGCCATCCATGGAATTGCAATTCCTTAACATTCTTTGCCTTTTTGTTGTTGAAATTTGCTCAACTAAAGCACATCTACTTCACGAGTCACGCGATTTGTAGCTAAGATAATTTCTTGTCTATAAAATAATAGCAATATATTTCGGAGAAAGTCGGACAGGTGTGGAAAAATGGCTACCATGATGCTTACGCGCATGCGCGTCAGCCTATCGTCAACCTGTTGAAGCCATAGTTGACGCTCTTGGCAAGCCAAAGCTAATCGGTCAAAAGTGACACTTGTGCCGCTAGTTTTGAAGAGCTTTTATTTCGGCTAACTGACTTCTGTATTAAGCTTTTATTGTTTTTGTAATAAAATGAGAGTTGACTGAAATCTATAATGTTGAAGTGTGAAACCTTCGGGCCTTCAGCGGCAGAGACGATGAAGAACAAAAAAATTGTGAGTTCTTTCGCTCACATCGAAATTGTCTCACCTATTCTGTCATATTCAGGTATTCCTTATCCTTCTCATAAAAGTTGTCCATGGTGAGTGACACTTCTTTCATCTCGATGAAAGGGTGGTAATGTGGAAGAATTTTTTCCAGTGTATCTGCGAGCAACGGGACAAATACAAGTGGAAATGGAGAGTGCGCCAGCCACGAAGTAGTTCAGCTTATCGTAAAATCCATCGGCAAATTATAAGTGTCTATGCTCATGTATTTTTGTGAAATCGTTCACTTTCTTTCAGCTACGAAGTCTTATACGGTGGGAGTGTGTCATATTCAATGCAGTCCTCCCCTTCAGCGTTCAGTTACTGGCCAGGAATGAGGCTCTGCTCGACCGATAACGACTGTTCTCCCCAATCTGGAATGTTTTGCTTAGAAAACGTCTGTGTTCAACTTGGACAGCAGTGCAACATGAACAGCGATTGCCCGTTTCCATCACTTTCCTACTGCGAATCAAACCGATGCACGAAACCGGGACTAGTTTGGAATCCAGCTTGGGACCTCCCAACTGGTGATGGATGGAGACTTATGAAACAATGTAAAACAGACAACGACTGCTTTCCTCAGTCAAATGTATTCTGCCTGGATAATGTCTGCATCCAGCTTGGACAGTATTGCAACAGAAACAGCGGCTGCCCGTTCCCGTCACTTACGTTTTGTGGAGGATCCCGATGTACGAAATCCGGCGTGGTATTAAACATTGAAGTAGTCCCAACTACTATGGGTATGTCGGGAGTAACAATGTGTAGAACGGACAATGACTGTCCCATTAGGTCGAACATGTTTTGCCTCGGGAACGTCTGCATTCAACTTGGACAGCAGTGTAGCACAACCTCTCAGTGCCCTTTCCCATCCCTCACGTCCTGTGTGGGATCGCGATGCACAAAAGCGATGGCATCATCGAATCCATTTTCCCAAACGTCAGGTGATGGAGGATTTCCACTGACTACGTGTCATAGCAACTGGGACTGTCCCACCAATTCCCAAGTATATTGCCTTGAAAATGTTTGCGTTCAGCTTGGACAACAGTGTAGCACAACCTCTCAATGCCCTTTCCCATCTCTTACGTCTTGCATGGGATCACGATGCGTAAAGGCCACGACAGCACCTATTTCCTATTTCCACACTGAAAGAGGAGGAGGGTAATCAGCTCAATGCGTGTAAAAATGATTTTGACTGTTCTGCGACTTCGGGCATGTTTTGCCTTGAAAATATGTGCGTTCAACTTGGACAACGGTGTGGACGAGCCGAAGATTGCCCGTTTCCATCTCTTACCACATGTGTTCGATCCCAGTGCATCAAGAGAGGGTCACAGACGGCACCAGACACAGGTAGGCATCCTTATAATGCTATTGTATATTTCTTTTTAACCACCTTTTGTTCAGTGAGTTCATCACAAAAAAGTTGCTAAATGTATAATAGCAGATGAAAATGTGAACTCACCTCTGCTGTGTTGTACTTTAACGGCTACGATTAATAACTTTAGTCGGCTACTCCATCTTTCAAGACAAATATATGTTGCCTTTTGGGTTGGAATTTAGATTTAAGGCACCACGAATGTCTAAGTGGAGCTGTCTCCATCTGAAAGTGAAGGTGAATTTGTAAGGCCCCTTGTAAAGAAAAAGAAAAGAAACCATCAAAATGAATTGGCGCTGGAAACCTTCTTTCTTTTAATGGCTGAAGTGATAACCTGACCGACAGAACACGCAGTTTGAGTGACACAGTGCGTAGGGTAGAAAGAGCGGACGAGGGAGACGAGGGAGACGAGGGAGA